CCCAATCCCAAATGTCCCCCCAGCCCCCCCAGCCCCCTGACCGGAGCGGCCGCAGTCGGAGCAGGACACGAGCTCCTCGGGCTGTCCCGTCTTCTTGTTGATCTTGGAGTCCCCCAGGCAGAAGTCGCAGTAATTGTTGGGAAGGGCCAACCCGTCGGGACCCTTCTTGGCTGGAGAGGGGATCGGGATCGGGATCAGGATCAGGGATTGGGATCAGGGATCAGAGATCGGGATCGGGATCAGGGATCAGTGATTGGGATCAGGGATCAGGATCAGGGATCAGGATCAGGGATCGGGATCAGGGATCAGGATCAGGGGTCGGGATCAGGGATCGGGATCGGGATCAGGGATCAGTGATTGGGATCAGGGATCAGGGATCACGATCAGGGATCGGGATCAGGGATCAGGATCAGGGGTCGGGATGAGGATCAGGGATTGGGATCAGGGATCGGGATCGGGATCAGGGATCAGTGATTGGGATCAGGGATCAGGGATCAGGGATCAGGGATCAGGATCAGGGGTCGGGATGAGGATCAGGGATCACGATCAGGGATAGGGATCAGAGATCGGGGATCAGGGACAGGGATCAGGGATCGGGATCAGGATCAGGGATCAGGGTTCGGGATCAGGATCAGGATCAGGGATAGGGATCAGGGATGGGAGATCAGGATCAGGGATCAGGATGAGGATCAGGGATCAGGATCAGGGATCGGGATCAGAGATCAGGGATCAGGGACAGAATTCCCCCAGAGCTGCTCCCAACTCCTCCGCTCTGCTGAATCCCAGGGGGAATTTTGTTCTGCTCAATCCCAGAGAAAATTTTACTCTGCACAATCCAGAGGAAATTTCGCTCTGCTCAATCCAAGATCGGGATCAGAGATCAGGGATCAGGGACAGAATTCCCCCAGAGCTGCTCCCAACTCCTCCGCTCTGCTGAATCCCAGGGGGAATTTTGCTCTGCTCAATCCCAGAGGAAATTTTACTCTGCACAATCCAGAGGAAATTTCGCTCTGCTCAATCCAAGGGGAATTTTGCTCTGCTCAATCCCAGGGGAAATTCTGCTCTGCTTAATCCCAGAGGAAATTTCGCTCTGTTCAATCCCAGGGGAATTTTGCCCTGCTCAATCCCAGGGGGAATTTTGCCCTGCTCCATCCCAGGGGAATTTTGCTCTGCTGAATCCCAGGGGAATTTTGCTCTGCTGAATCCCAGGGGGAATTTTGCTCTGCTCAATCCCAGAGGAAATTTTACTCTGCACAATCCAGAGGAAATTTCGCTCTGCTCAATCCAAGGGGAATTTTGCTCTGCTCAATCCCAGGGGAATTTTGCCCTGCTCCATCCCAGGGGAATTTTGCTCTGCTGAATCCCAGGGGGAATTTTGCCCTGCTCAATCCCAGGGGGAATTTTGCTCTGCTTTATCCCAGATGAAATTTTACTCTGCACAATCCAGAGGAAATTTCGCTCTGCTCAATCCCAGGGGAATTTTGCCCTGCTCCATCCCAGGTGGAATTTTGCCCTGCTCCATCCCAGGGGGAATTTTGTTTTTGATTTCTTCCCTCACATTTCTGCTCCTCGGAGCGCTGGGACACGGGCGTGGGGGGCTGCGAGTCGTCCTTGTCGTCGCCCTCCTCCTCGGCCAGGTGCGAGTGGGCGTAGTGGTAGCTGAGCCCCGGGCGGTTCTTGTAGCGCTTCCCGCAGACTGCCGAGGAAATCCGGGAAAATCCCGGGAAAATCCCGGTGAGGGACAGGCAGGGGAGGGAAATCCCAAATCCTGAACCCTCCGCGGCCGATCCCAGCGCCGGGCCGGGAGAGCAAAGAGGCCGGAATTGGGTAAAAAAAAGCCCTGGAATTGCTGAGGAATTCCAGGTAATGAGTTGGGATCCCAGAGGAATTCCAGGTAAATTCCCTGGGATCCCAAAGGAATTCCATGTAATGAACTGAGATCCCAAGGGAATGTCAGGTAATGAGCTGGGATCCCTAAGGAATTCCAGGTAAATTCCCTGGGATTCCAAAGGAAACCTAGGTAAAACCCCAGGATCCCAAAGGAATTCCAGGTAAACTCCCTGGCATCCCAAAGAAATTCCAGGTAATGACCCACGATTCCAAAGAATTCCAGGTAAATTCCCCGGGATGCCAAAGGAATTCCAGGTAAATTCCCTGGGATGCCAAAGGAATTCCAGGTAAAGCACCGTGGGATCCCAAAAGAATTCCAGGTGTGAGGAAATGCAGGTAAATTCCCCAGGATCCCAAAGGAATTCCAGGTAAAGACTGTGGGATCCCAAAGGAATTCCAGGTATCAGGAATTCCAGATGAATTCCCTGGGATCCCAAAGGAATTCCAGGTAAATTCCCCGGGATCCCAAAGGAATTCCAGGTGAACACCCCAGGATCAATCCAATGGTAAAATCCCCATTGGGAATGTGTCAGGGAAATTCCCACCCCAAAAATCCCATCCTGAGGTTAAAAACCAAGGGAAAGGGAAATTGGGAATTCTGGGGTTCCAAGGAGGGATCCGGCAGCGGGCACGGATCCATCCCGGCTCCTCAGAACCCCAAAATCCATCGGTTCTCCCGTTTCCCACCCTGGAATTTGGGAGATTTCTGCCTCGATCCGGCTCCTCGTGGATCAGGGAATGGGCTCCAGTTCCCCAGCGCTGCTTTTCCAGGGATTTTTTGGGTTTTTCCTTATCCAAGGACACCCCAAAATCCCTTTCCAGCCCAGTTTTGGTTTGGGAAGGATGAGCCTGAGGAATTGGGATCAAATCCCAAAAAAGTAGCACTGGAGGGGGAATTCCAGGGCTTGGTGCAGACATTTCCCAAGTTTCCTGTTCGTTTTCCCAAAAATTGGGAATGAGCTGCTTTGGGATGAGATTTCCTGATTTCTGAGCTTTTCTGGAACACCACGGAAGTTTCTGGATTCGCTTCCACCTCAAGATCCCCCCCAGAACGTGGAAAAATGAGGGAAAATGCAGCTGGATCAGGGAAAACAGGGGCTGAACTTCCAAAGGGAGGCTGGCTCCTGCAGCCCAGGCTGGAAATTTTGGGATAAAAACCACAGGAATCACCCTGGGATCTGTGGGGTTTGTGGGGAAAACAGGATTGGAGCAGCAGCAAGGAAAAAGCAGCAACCCCAACGTGATTCCCACGAAATTCCCGCTTCCCTCCCGATCCACGGAGCTCCAAAATCAACTTTTCTCCCCTCAAAACCTGCAGGACAATCTCCAAACACGACTCTGGAAATCTCCTCCCGAGGTGAGGAAGAGGAGCCTCGGGAACATCCCGGGAATATCCCGAGTTCCCCTCCCCAGCTGCGGCTCATCCCCGTTTTTTGGGGCTTTTTTTGAGGCAAAACCCCACGGATTCGGAGCGGGAAAACAGCCGGGGGGGTTTTGGAGGCAGCGACACATCCTGGGATTTGGGATGGGGTGGAAACTTTGGGATTTGGGGGGGAAACTGCAAAATTTGGGGTGCAAACTCTGGGATTTGGGGGGAAAACTGCAGAATTTGGGGTTCAAACTCTGGGATTTGGGGGGAAATTCCAGGATTTGGGGTTCAAACTCTGGGATTTGGGTGGAAACTGCAGAATTTGGGGTTCAAACTCTGGGATTTGGGTGGAAACTGCAGAATTTGGGGTGCAAACTCTGGGATTTGGGTGGAAACTGCAGAATTTGGGGTTCAAACTCCGGGATTTGGGTGGAAACTGCAGAATTTGGGGTTCAAACTCTGGGATTTGGGTGGAAACTGCAGAATTTTGGGTGGAAACTCCAGGATTTGGGGTGCAAACTCTGGGATTTGGGTGGAAACTGCAGAATTTGGGGTGCAGACTCCGGGATTTGGGGTGCAAACCCTGGAATTTGGGTGGAAAGTGCAGAATTTGGGGCGGAAACTCCGGGATTTGGGGTGGAAACTCCGGGACTCGGGCACGAGCTCCGTGTTTTTCCCACTGCTGGCTCCACGGGGGGCTCCATCTTTGTTTTCCCGGCCCCGTTCCCTGCTGGAAAAGGGTCAGGGGGCCCGAGCGGGGCCGGCGCTGACGTCGCTCCCGTGGCCTTTGGCTTCTCCCTCCCCTCCTCCCGCCCGCCCCGAGGCTCCGCAGGAGGATTTGGGATTTTGTTTGTCGTTGGGGGTGGGAAAAAAAAAAGGGGGGAAAAAAAGGAGGAAAAGCAGGAAAAACGAGCAGAGAGAGAGCGGAACTACCTCGGTCGGGAGGTTTCAAGGAATGCTTTTGTTTGTAACTGTCTGAAACACAGAAAGAGAAGTCGTGAGAGGACACGGACACACACGGAAAACCGGGAAAAAAGGGCAGGAAAAACACAACCTCAGGGAGCCAGGGGGAGAATTAGTGCTGGGAAGTGGCAGGACAGCAGGAAGAAGAGAGAAAAAGGAGCTGGCAAAGCCTCCCTCGCCTTCCCCATCCCGTTATCCCCCGGATTCATGGGCTGGGAAGGGACGGAATTTGTTGGAATTCCCAGCTCCTTAGGGGAGGGCTGGGAATGGCTCCCAGGGACTGGGATCTGACTGGAAAACCACTGGGATGAAGGGGAGGGCCCTTCCCGGCCTTTGGGGTTGTTGGGGAAGTTTGTTCTCGTTTCCATCCTGGTTTTTAAGCTGGCGTTATCCCGGTTCGTATCCTGCTGCTGCCCGGTATTCCCAGCGGGAAAAGCTCCATCCAGCTGCAGGGCAGGAAGGAGAAGCCCCCCCTGCCCTCCCCGGGGTGGGGGTCTCCGCTCGGGGCCGGGACCCCCCGATCCCAAAGCCGGAATTCCCGCGGCACTCACTGTCACACGCGTAGGGTTTGTCCCGGTCCTCCAGGATGGCGGCGTCCAGCTTCTTCCGAGCGCCCCCCACGCCTTTTCCCTGAGGGAAAAAACCGGGATTTGGGGAAAATCCGGGACGGGAAGGAGCGAGCCAACAGTGCCCCTTTTCCCTGAGGGAAAAAAGCGGGATTTGGGGAAAATCCGGGACGGGAAGGAGCGAGCCAACAGTGCCCCTTTTCCCTGAGGGAAAAAACCGGGATTTGGGGAAAATCCGGGACGGCAAGGAGCGAGCCAACAGTGCCCCGCGGTGGGAATGGCCCGGAAACGACCGCAAATCCACGGGAATTTGGGGAAAATCAGGGGGTCTGGGCGCAAATCCCGGTTTTCCCGGCTCATCGGGGAAAGCGGGAAATTCCTTTTCCCAGGAATTGCCTCACCTTGGCCTTGCCCTTCCCTCTGCGCTTGGGCGTGTCCTCCTCGTAATCCTCGTCGTCCAAATCGTCCAGGAAATCGTCGGGCTCCAGGATCCGCTGGGAAGGAGCACAGGGGTTAGGGCACGGAAAAACAAGAGGGGAAAAACGGGGGGAAAATGGGGGAAAAGGGAAAAAAAAGGGGAAAATGGGGAAAAAATGGGGAAAAATGGGGAAAAAATGGGGAAAAATGGGGAAAAAATGGGAAAAAATGGGAAAAAATGGGGAAATAATGGGGAAAAAATGGGGAAAAGAAGGGATAAAAATGGGGGAAAATGGGGAAAAAGGGAAAAAAAAGGGAAAAATGGGGAAAAAATGGGGAAAAATGGGGAAAAAATGGGGAAAAATGGGAAAAAATGGGGAAAAAATGGGAAAAAATGGGGAAAAAAATGGGAAAAAATGGGAAAATAATGGGAAAAAAAGGGGAAAAGAAGGGATAAAAATGGGGGAAAATGGGGAAAAAATGGGGAAAAATGGGGAAAAAAAGGGAAAAAAATGGGGAAAATGGGGGAAAAAAGGGAAAAAATGGGAGAAACTGAAAAAATGGGAAAAGTGGGACGAACAGGAAAAATGGGAAAAATGGGAAGAACAGGAAAAATGGGGAAAAAAAGGGAAAAAAATGGGGAAAATGGGGGAAAAAAGGGAAAAAATGGGAGAAACTGAAAAAATGGGAAAAGTGGGACGAACAGGAAAAATGGGAAAAATGGGAAGAACAGGAAAAATGGGGAAAAAAAGGGAAAAAAATGGGGAAAATGGGGGAAAAAAGGGAAAAAATGGGAGAAACTGAAAAAATGGGAAAAGTGGGACGAACAGGAAAAATGGGAAAAATGGGAAGAACAGGAAAAATGGGGAAAAAAAGGGAAAAAAATGGGGAAAATGGGGGAAAAAAGGGAAAAAATGGGAGAAACTGAAAAAATGGGAAAAGTGGGAAGAACAGGAAAAATGGGAAAAATGGGAAGAACAGGAAAAATGGGGAAAAAAAGGGAAAAAAATGGGAAAAATGGGGAAAAAAAGGGAAAAAAATGGGGAAAAAAAGGGAAAAAAATGGGGAAAATTGGGGGAAAAAAGGGAAAAAATGGGAGAAACTGAAAAAATGGGAAAAATGGAAAGAACAGGAAAAATGGGGAAAATGGGAAAAATGGGAAAAAAGGGAAAAAAGGGAAGGGACCACAGCTGGATCCATCCCAGAGGAGGCACTGGAAGGTTTTTGTGGATGGAGAGGGAATTTCGGATGTTTTATCCCAAAAAAAAAGTCATGGAAGGGCCTGGTTTGGTGGGAAAGCGCTTGGAGAAGGAACTAAGCAAAAAGGAAAATGATTCTGAATCCCAGGATTCCCAATTCCCAGGTGGAATTCCTGGTATCCCAAATTGCCCGTTCCCATCCCAGAATTCCCGGTTCCCATTGGAATTCCTGGTACCCCAAGTTCCCAATTCCCACAATTCCCAGTATCCCGAATTCCCGGAATTCCCATTATCCCGAGTTCCCGGTCCCTGTCTGGAATTCCCATTATGTCGAATTCCCGGTTTCCATCTGGAATTCCCGTTATCCCAAATTCCTGGAGTTCCAGTTATCCCGAACTCCTGGAATTCCTGTTATTCTGAGTTCCTGGTTCCCATCCTGAATTCCCAGGTCACGGCTGGAATTCCTGGAATCCTGAGTTCCCAATTCCCAGAATCCCAAATTCCCGGAATTCCTGTTATCCCGAGTTCCTGGTTCCCGTTGGAATTCCCATTATCCTGAGTTCCCATTGGAATTCCCATTGGGATTCCTGTTATCCCGAGCTCCCGGTTCCCACTGGAATTCCCATTATCCTGAGTTCCTGGTTCCCGTTGGAATTCCCGTTATCCTGAGTTCCCATTGGGATTCTCGATGGGATTCCCGTTCTCCCGACTCCCGGAATTCCCGTTCTCCCGGAATTCCCGTTCTCCCGGAATTCCCGTTCTCCCAACTCCCGGAATTCCCGTTCTCCCGACTCCCGGAATTCCCGTTCTCCCGACATTCCCATTCTCCCGACTCCCGGAATTCCCGTTCTCCCGGAATTCCCGTTCTCCCAACTCCCGGAATTCCCGTTCTCCCGACATTCCC